CCGACACCGTGCTAAAGGCTACACCAACAGGCTTTGCAGGAAGTGCAATGATGGCCTCTTTTTTTCAGAACAAAATAACTACTTTTTGGACTACCATAATTGAGTCAATCAACAAATAAATAAATAAGCACATTGTGTTTTTTCCCTTCATGATTTGCACATAGTCTTAATTTAGAGTTTTTTGAATATGATATTCCCTTTTAGTTCTAAATTGATGATAAAAGTAACTTTGTCTATTATAATATTGTTATTGTGTAGATACATAACTTTATAAGCAGTACAGTGCAAATAAACCTTTAATTGTTCGTTACATGTGTTCAGAGTGTGAGTGACGGCTACACAAATCTGCTACCTTTCAGGTGCAATTTTACAACATTCCCCCAAAAGTTACTAAAATGTCATAATTAAAAAATAACACTGGTTTAGACTGCACAAGTCTCCTAGAACAACACGACAATGGTTGAAAAAAATTGAAGCTTTTTTCTATAGTTGGGTTTCTGGGGGTTAAAGACATCTCCAGGAAAAGATCTGTGAAAGGTTGCAGTAATGCTTTTTGCTGCGTCGAAGGGTCTAAGGAGCACAGTGGCCTCCATAATCTATGAGTAGAAGTTCAAAACCACCAAGTGTCACATTTGGAGGAAACCAGGCACCATTCCTACAATGAAACATGGTGGTGGCACTAAATTGCTGTGGGGATGTTTTTCAGCAGCAGGAACTGATAAACGGCAAATGGTCTGGATTTGTATAGCGCCTTCTTGGGGTTCTACAACCCCCCAAGGTGCTTCACAACACAATCAGTCATCCACCCATGCACACACACACAGGTGGTGATGAGCTACAATGTAGCCACAGTTGTTCTGTGGCGAGACTGCCAAACACTGGCGCCACCAGTCCCTCTAACCACCAGCAGCAGGCCGGGCAGGTTAAAGTGACAGTGTGTAGTTTTTACCAATAATCTCTGGAAATATCCATCAAAATGTTGTTGAAAATGAATGAAATGATGTCCAGTTTTTAAAAAATATTGGCAGCTTTCTAACGTATAACCCAAAACATCGGGTCTCAAATACATGAGCGTGGGTCTAAGTCTCTGGGCGACGCCATATTAGATGCGATGACTTCTACTATGTGAGCCTGTGAGGACAAAACGCATTTGCTGATTTGTAACAAGAGGTTACAAAACTTTTGCTATTCATAAACGTTGTTTTAAACATTTACCTCTTTACTTGCTGCCAGTGATGAAAGAGAATATGATGGGCTTGTCATTTTGGTGGAGGTTGAACGATCTGGCCATGTACTCACTCGAAAATTGTGATCCCAGGGATTTTTGACCCTAATGGCCATCCGTTGGTAAGGTCTTAAGCCTAATTTATACTTCTACGTCGGTACGGAGACATGCAGCGCCATTTTGTGTCGGCCCGTCTGGGACGGGCTTGTGGAGGCTGACAGAGACATGCCCTAAATTTTAACTTTCCGTCGAAACAGACGGAGACCGCAAGCTTGTGATTGGTCAGGATGCTGCTTCCTGTTTTCATTCATCTTCAGCACCGTCTTTGCCACTTCAACAAATAAAGAGATATTTAGAGGCAGACATGGAGCAGATTGAAGAACGCATCGTGGAAAAAGAGTTCAAAGATATGCAGCAGGCGTTTTATTTATGAACAGAAAAGATGAGAAAAGTGGGTTCTCAGGTGCCGATCACATGAAGAGTTGAAGAGGAACGAGGGACAAATTTGTCCGTGTTTAAAAAAAAGTCTCTGAAATACATTATAACAATGTAAACACAAAAGCAAATACACTATTGTGGACCGGATACAGGACTGTAATGGTGGCAGGACACCTCAGAATAGTGCTACGCCCTCTGTTGTCCTGGTAGGGAATTGTTTCGCAACAATCCCCAGAAGTCTGAAAGTAAAACCGCACGTTTTTTAGGGAAGTCTGCGCACTTCCCTGGATTAAGTATTTTTAAACACCAGCTAGTTATCTGAAAACTTGGATGGATAACCAAAGTAACTTTTTGACCTTAGATCAGGGGTGCCCAATCCTGGTCCTGGAGGGCCAGTATCCAGCAGGTTTTGTGGTTTTTCTGCTCCAACACACTTGATTAACTGGTTGAATCACCTGTGCGGCAGCTCATCAGGCTCTGTAGAAGCCTGTTAATCACCTGCTGATTGAAACCAGGTGTGTTGAAGCAGAATTGAAACTAAAACATGCTCGAGGACCAGGATTGGGCACCCCTGCCTTAGATGATGTTTTTCTACAATTTTAAAGAACATTCGATATGCACTTTAAGGCAACACCACTAAAGCCTATCTTGTACTTCTCCATCTGCAAGTTTGCACTCACACATGTGTACTGACGGAGACATTTTCCTGTTAAACCTTTCCGTTGGTGTGTCAGTGTTATAAAGCAATTCTCCGCCAGGACAGAAGGAGGCATAGAACTTTACTGGCAGGTCTGCTTATTCTTCTTCTTCTTGAGTTTGTGCTATTTCTTATTTTGATTTCACTTGTTCAATAAACCATTAATTAATTAATCAATTCATTCATTCATTCAAAAAAGCAACAAATGCTGTTGCCTGGCAGACCGAGAATGCGGAGCCGCTAACAAATACACACTCACACACACAGGCTCACAATGGAATTGTGACATCTTATGGTACCAGCTGACACCATAGGGTACATCTTAGCCAATAGCAATGGCAGATTTAAATTCAAATGCAGTGCAGAGTTTTTACCTGAAGAGGGCGCAACACTGACAGTTTTAGGCAGAAAATTACAAATTTAACTAAGATGCACTAATGTGCCAAATTATTGACTACACGTGTCTGCAGCATGATTAGACACTCATTTATATAGTTTATCAGCCAAAAAAGTAGATTAGGGGGTGACTTGCTCTTTAATGACGTGTTTTGACCCGCTCCAGACTAGTGAATTTCAACACAGCAGTCGCTATGACGTTCACACGTCCTCTCCTGTTAATACTGCTGTAAACTAATCAGCTAACACTGCCTATCATGTTAGCATCATTTACCTTATATACACACCGCCACACTAGCAGACTCCAGCGACTAAAGTCCAACCTGTGGTGAGATTTTTCCCAATTTGCAAAAGCTACAGCAACAAGATGATGACTCAAGGAGCACAAGGGAGAACATTTGGAAGGACCTTTCCAACCGATACCAGGTACAACTGATTATTTATCATAAATAAACCTACAGTTATAATGCAGGAAGCCATGTGCAATTAGTTGTTGCCACCATTTGAACTACTCTGGAATTGATAAGGAACTGGATTGAGAGACAGAATCGACAATGCCATTGATGTTGATAAAAACAGATCAATCCCGCCCTTAAACTTAACTCTAAGGTCTGATACAAAACCCAGTTAAGAGGTTTCAGCTCTGGTTTTCTCCAGTTCACTGGGAGCTTGGCGTTAATTTGATGACAGCTGCTGATGTTTCTGTGTGAAATTAAAACACTCTCAGTTCTAATCCACCCAGGGCCTCACCTAATTAATAGGCTTCAGCGATACATTAATAACAAATTTTAATCTATTTCAGTAGAAATAAGATGCAGGCAACATTACACAAACTAATTCTACCAGTTTCCCTGATTCTGTTGAAAATGTGCCAGACTGAGAAAACAACCTTCAAATGAATGAATTTTAAACACAGAATCAACAGAAAAGTTATTAATGCAACAAAATCATCAGCTAATCTGTCAGTGAATAAACAAATCAAGCTAAATTTTGGGGAAAATAAAAATAAATTACTTGAATACTATTTTAATTGCATCTTATACATTATTATATAAAAAATAATAAAGTATCAAATGTTCTTTGATGAATAATTTTAAATATATACTACAAGTATTATTTAAATGTACTGCAGACTGAATTTAATACATTTGCTGATGAGCTGTGGACTCATACACAAACAAACGGCTTGGGACAGATTACGTTTTATAATATGTATTTTTTGTTCTTATTTTAAAAGTTTTGAATACTTGTTTAATCAATACATTTGCAATGGTCTCTAACAAATGCCTTGGAAGTTATACTCTGGAAAAAAACGCCCCGATGCGCCTCTGTCAGGAACTAGAAGTAAGCCACACCAGAGCTGAGCTTCACATAGCAGGATTTGGAGTCTTATTTTCAGATTTTTGGACATCTCGCCTCTGATTGGCTAACAGCAACATGACTCTACAACTGACTTGGTTTACTTAGCAACTTTGATGTTTTATCTCTACAAATAACACAAGTCTGAAGGAGTTCTACAGTGTGGTGGAGTTCCTAATGCTAACATTTAACTTGTACTAACCAAGAGGCTCTCTACTGTTAACTAGACTCTAAACCAACAACAGCCTTCCCCCTTGCGAGTCAGGATGGGTGAGGCCATGAATGTTAAGTGACATTGTGATGTAGATCAGTCAGACTTTTCTAATCCTAGAGTTTCACCGTCTGTTTTCTATCAGAAGCTAATGCAGGAGATAGCTGTAGGAGACTATTGTCATGTTCAGCCTACATGGAAAACTCAAGAGTGACTGATTATAATCAGAAATAATCGATTCAGTCATCCAGGAAAATATGCACAACCAAAGCTTATGATTTAGTTGACCGTTATCTTCTTTTAGACAAACTGTATGCCACTGGCTTTTCAAGAACTTCCCTAATCTGGTTCAGCTCACACCACAGAGAACAATGTATTCCTCTGAGCAACAATTAAGATGTAGACAGATGAAAACTAAGCTATCACACAAGAAAAAACACTTATTTTATTGGTGAAAACACTGTCCGCTGTGGTCAACATGGTTAGAACAGAAACTACAAAGGGTTATAATACACACACGCACACACACACACGAATATTTCTTTTAATATGTGATTTTTTTGTCTCTTGAGTATAAATTTTAAGCCAGAGCGTAAACGACAAAATTCAAGCATGTCATCGGGTAAACAAGTGGTAATAAAAGCCCAGATAAGGGGTAGTTACACAGAATTTACCTGACTCGCCCATTGGTCTCTCTGCTGCAGCAGGTCCTCCTCCATTCTCTTACACTGTAGACACACAGGGTCAAAGGTCAGATTCATCATCTAGTTCCTAGAAAACATTTTCACACTCAACAGCAGGGTGTTGTTCTTTAGACGGGTGTCTTACTGCTACATACTGATGTTAATTATAGAACAGATATGTTCTAGAGGATTCAGGGAGGTCTTCAGCTGCCTCTGAAGTCCCACAGACCAAAAGGACCTGATAGGACTCCTTTTTCATCTTGACAGCACACCTGGACTCAAGTGTCTCACATCTTCTCCTGAACGCATTCAAAGTTCTGTTGAAGGTAGGAAATGAAGCTCCTTCAGCTTTACTAAGGACAAATATTGGCCAATGCCGATGTATAAAAAACGGTAAACATCAGCCCGATATGTCGGCTGACCCCTACAGGCCATCGATTAGGACTGATGCAGCTGATATCAATTAGTACTGATGGGGGCGGGGGTTTCTCTCTCAATACTGAAAGATTTCAGGTGACCTCCTGGCATTCTATGCCTTTTTGCACATGAACATATTCATGTGTTTGAAACTTTTTCCCTTTGTCTTTTCACTTTATTACACATAACTGAATTTATGGTGGGTGTGAGCTCTGCTCCCAGTTTAGATGTTCTCTCACCCTACCAGAAGTCAGCTGTCACCAGCCTGGGGGTGAGGCTGGTTGCAGAATTCAAATAGGAAGCTCACATCAACATGGTTGTACAAGCCTGCTTCTTCGACCTGCGACGGCTAACCAAAATCAAGCCCATGCTGTCAGGCAGCACTGAGACGTATACAGCTGGTTCAGAACACTGTAGCCAGATTTCTGGCAGGGACGAGGAAGCCGGCACACATCACTCCTGTGCTGGACTCATTACATTGGCTCTCTGGAGGTTTTTGGACTAAGTTTAAATTCTGTGCTATGTCTTCCGGTCTGTTTATGGTGGTGCCCGACCATATTTGGCAGCGCTAATATAAAGGCATACCCCACCACCAACTCTACGCTCTGCTGACCTGGAGCTTGGTATAGGTCTAGAGGTAATCGGGCTTTCTGGGTCTTGGCTCCTTCTCTCTGGAATGAGCTTCCACTTGATATTAAACTGTCACCATCGCTGCAGGTCTTCAAGAGTTGTTTAAAGGTTCATGTTTATTGTTTGGCTTTTATGTGACTTGGTTTTCTGCTTTTATGCTCCTTTTACATGTTTTATGTTGCTTTCATCTATTTTTTATTGCTCTCTGTTTTTTAGTGTATGTTGTCTTCAGTGCCTTGGGCTCCCGCAAAGGCAGTGGAAGGCACTATATAAATAAAGACTGACTGATTGACAACTTAAATGTTTAGATGTCTTTGCATGAATGAAATACTTCTCACATGTGGTGAAACTTTAGTGTCAATAGCCCACTTAGAAAGACCCTTACTGATAAAAATGCTGATGTCTCAAATACTAATTTTCCCCGCTGTATGTGGACTTTTATTGCCTGTAATTTACTATCTAATCCAATTCCATTTATTTATATAGTGCGTTTAAAAATCAACATCTTAAAAACTAAAAATTAAAAGGCATAAATGGGAAATGAAAGCCTGAAGGAAAGTTTTGAAAGTCTAAAGAACTTTTGATCAGAAACATGAAAAATGTCACTAGAAGGTTTGAATCCTTAGACATAAATCAGAAAAACATGGAACATCTAAAGTTAAAGCCCCATTAATTAATCGCACACTGGTGAAACTCCTCTCTGCATCTGATCCATCCCTGTGGGGAGTGGGGAGCTGCAGCTGTGACACTGCTCAGAAACTATTTGGTGGTTTGCAGCTCTGCTGAACATTCTCTGTATTTGCCCTTTACTTTTGTCCTTTTAGGGCGTAATGTGCTGAATCATTACTGGCCCCTGGGGGTCGAGGGGCACTCTAATTCATTTATTTGTTTCATAGATAAAAAAACTTTAAGTCACTGATTTGAAAACGTGATGGTTGCTCTGCTACCTAAAAACACCACGGCTCTACTCAGTTGCCCTTTCCCATCTTAACCCTGCGGGTGCTCACATGGACCAGATGAAACCAGACTAAACCTTCTTTCTGGGTGCTGAACTCGGTTTTCTCAATGGCTGATGATTGTGATTCACAAGTGAAGTTAAACAGATGAATGTGGGTTTCATCAGTTGTACTGTAGGCAGTAGAGCGGTCTCTGGTGAGGAAGACTACGTTTCATCTATGTTAATTACCACGACCCAACCCTCAACTCCTTATGGTGTTAGCTCTCCGACCTGATGAAAGAGGAGTTCCTCCGGTGGAGGTCCTGGCTGAGCCTTAGAGGTAGGCAATGTAGCCTGGTCATCCAGGAGCAGCTTGGACTAGAGCTACTGGAGTCAGCAGAGTTTGAGCATCTGATTGGAATGCCTCACATCCTTCTATCTTTGGAGCTTTTTGGGGCACATGCTACTAGAAGAACACCACATGGAAGATCACTGGAGGGATTATATATGCCTTCTGGCCTGGAATACCTTAAAACCCCCCCAGGAAGAGATGAAGAGACTGGGAAGACAAATGTCTGGATGTCTGTGTTGCCTCAATGACCTAATGAGAGATACTTGGATGGGTGTGTACACGTATTTGTGTGCAGGTGATTGTGTGCTTGCATATATTAGTGTGTGTGTGTGTAATGGTTTTATACTGTACAGCAACTTGGCAGATCTACTACAACTGAGTGTGTGTGTGTGTGTGTGTGTGTGTGTGTGTGTGTGTGTGTGTGTGTGTGTGTGTGTGTGTGTGTGTGTGAGTGAATATGTGTGTTACTGTGTCCATGATTGTGTATGCATGAGTATGTGTTTGTGTGTGCATGTGATTGTTTGTGACTGTGTGTGTGTTTGTGTGCATAGATGTGTAAGCCTGCATGTGTGTGTGTGTGTGTGTTAGAGTGCATGCATGCCTGTGTTAGAATTTGTGTATGCATGTGTGTGTATGTGAGTGTGTGTATGTGCATGTGTGTATGTGTGTAATTGTTATATACTTTATAGCAACTTAGCAGATCTACTACAACTGAGTGTGTGTGTGTGTGTGTGTGTGTGTGTGTGTGTGATTCTATGTGTGTTACTGTGTCTATGAGTGTGTGTGCATGAGTGAGTCTGTGTTTGTGTGTGTATGTATGTGCATGTGTAAGCATGCATGTATGTGTGCATGAGTGAGTCTGTGTTTGTGTGTGTATGTATGTGCATGTGTAAGCATGCATGTGTGTGTGCATGTGTTTGTGTGCATTCACATGTGTGTGTGTGACTGTGTGTGTTAAGTGTGTGTGTGTGTGTGTGTGCATGTATGTATGTGTATTAGAGTGCATGCATGCCTGTGTTAGAATGTGTGCATATGTGAGTGTGTGTGTGCAAGTCTAAGTGTGTGTGTGTGTGTGTGTGTGTGTGTGTGTGTTAAGTGTGTGTGTGTGTGTGTGTGTGGTGTCTTTAGATATTGTGAATTAGATAACAGCTTTAGTTTGTTCTTAATGTTTAATAAACCAGCTGATAAACACAAGCTACTCTTCTACGTTCACGTTTCTGAGTTGATTCTATGTTGCTGCTTTTTGAGCTGTAATGTTGATCTAAGTTTGTTCCAATCCCTGATGTGAGTCCACCTGGCAGCTGTTAATGACCCTGACCACCAGAGAATCAAACCAGCATCCTTCTCTGGGGAATTGAACTGGTGGTCAGATGCTCCAGGTGAGTCTAATAAACTGTAATAACCTGTAATTACCTGATATGAACTCAATAAAAACAGAATACTCCAGCTGGCATATGGGCTGGCGCTCCCAGGAAGAACCCTCCCCCTCTGTCTAATATTTCCCAGAAGCCCCGGCTGCCGAGAGAAATAATCCCTGAGAGATGAGAAGAGGGAACGAGGGATAGCCAAGCGATGAGGGTGGGGGGTGATCCTCTAATGTGGAGTGCTCTCTCGCTCTCTCTCTCTTCTTCTTCTTCTCTGAGGATTATGACGGCATTTGAAACATATTTCACTGTGATGCACCCGTGGAAGGAGGGTGGGATTAAGGTGTTACCATGGAGGGGTGGTGTTAACGTAAAGGGGATGGTTGTTAAAAGATGGTGGAGCTTTGATACTGGCAGGGGTTATTAACAGTGATGCTGAAGTGAAGCTGATACACTGGTGAGTTTAGAGTTAAAAGAGGCAGGGGTTAAGAGGCAGGCGGGGGGTGTTAACGTGTGAGGCCAACTGCATCGAAGCAAAGATCTGAAGGTCTGTCACGTTCACTAGTGCATGTACAAGTGCTGCATCACCTCGTCACATGAGTTTAACACTTCAACCTAAAGATGGCAGAACTGCTTAAAGAGGCAGTGACCGCTGCAGCGGGGTGGAACGGTGAAGGCTGGGGCAACTTACTGTCGGGGCAACAACTAGAAGCATCACATAAAAACTAAACCACCAGTTTGTTCCACCATCTACAATCATGCTGTTTGTGATGACGATCTTGTGCTTAAGATTATCTTCACATAACTACCAACCAGAATTAAGTTCGGTCCTCGGAGACAGATCCAGACTGCAGGACTACCTGGATCACATCGAACGTGATTATGATCACTCATTAAATATCCCAGCTGTCAGTCTCTGAGTCTCTTGTTTAATGATGAAATACCCACAACGCTCCGTTTCTGCCTTCATACCAGGCCATTAGGATGGGAAATTGGGATTTTTACATGTTAGGGAGTTTTTGTTTGAAGAAACTACAAAATCACCGAAGGTCTGGTTGAAAGAATGATTCCTACAAGCCCTGCACCACAATAAACAAATACTGAGAATTTTAGTTACTTCTCCATTACTCTGTTACTATTCTTGACAACCAGAATGTCTACATAAGGATATCATTATGATACGTAAAATACCAACAACAATATAATCAACTTGTCCAAATGGAGCTTTCTGTCTAAGAAGGAGATGCTGTATTATAGGTTGATTTTCCAACAGAGTGATGGAGATGACTGCTGCAGGTCCTTCATAAACACGCAAAGGGAGGATCTGCCAAAAACTTAATGAACACATTAATAAAAGGCCAAAATTGGCTTCCTTACATATTCTTTAGCTTTTGATGCTAGTGCATGTTCAATAGTATTGAATTGATTAAAGCATTATTAAGAGGTCTTAAAACAACAAAACATTTCATTGAAGGTAAAAATGTAAATGTAAGCTTCTATTTTGGGTTCATATATTTGTAAGTCAGACTCCAGAAGTGTCAGCTCCTCCCCAGTTGTTGCACGTCTCACCAGTTAGAAGAACCTCGGGACACCATCGAAAAATGGCTAATGTAAACTGATCCTCTTGTGACGCCATCATGAATACCTGGATTGATTACATTAGACAGTGGTCTTCAGTAACTGATGAAGGTATATTAAGTTAATACCGACATGAAATCCTTAATGAATCATTTGTTTGAGCAGGAAACAGGAAAGATTAATGGATAACAGATTGTACTGTTAAGCATCGCACATGTAGGCTTCATTTCTACAGCGCATTTCACACAGAGGCGATTCAGTGTGCTTACATGTATAGAAGTTAGCAAGCTAACAGTGACATTTAATCATTATGGACACTTGAGAGGCTATGTGACATAAAAACCACAACTCATGTGTTTTGGTGTACTCATGAGTATTTCATTGAATGGCTGATGTCCATTGACCAGAGAAACGGCAACTACAGGTCTCTGATCGAGGGTTAATATGACTCGAGCTCAGGAAGGATCGGGTAAATTTTACACTGCCAGGTTGTTGTGTGACTGCGTGGCAGGCAGAGTGTTGCTGCAGCCACATTGCAGCGCTGCTGCACAAGTGAAGGTGGCTGTCCAGCACGGTCCGACCGGCAGGTCCTCAACGGACCACGGTATCTCACATAGGATTTTCTTCCAAATCTAGAGTTATTTTGCTGTATTTAGAACAGCCGATGACTGCACAGGTCCTCCTAGACTTCCTAGACATGTTCACCAACACTTCTTGCTGTTTATCTTCCAAAGCACGTTTCGCACACAGCGCCTAGGGCTACCTGACTGGGAACTGCCACTGCAGTGATGGCGGCAGCTTGACTTTTGGTTATTTCGCTGAATCAGTCTACAAGGACAATTTAGTAAACCCGACATGCATGCAACTCAGAGAAAACCCATGCATGCATGGGTGGAACATGCTACTCCACAAAGAAACGTTGAAGCTGGGATTTGAACCCTCAACCTTCGTGCTGCAAATCAACAGCACCACCATGCAGCCCTGATAAAAACTACTGTCTTTGATTATTGGAGGAAAAGTGAGCAGGTTCACTAGACATTGTTTCAGGCTGTTTGGGGTGAGCGGCTGAAGCTGCAGGCTGCTCTTAGGTCTCGAGTCTTTCTGCTTCATCCCACCAGATGCTGCTAAACAGCAGGTAAAGAAGAACCTGGTGAGTTCATCAAGGCGTTCGTGAAAACTCTGAGGGAACATTTCTACCTTAGAACAGAGAGGGACTGAATGTGGGACATGAATAAAGAATACTGGTGATAATTAGTGAACTAGCATGAACAAACACGAACCACCTACGACTGCATGGCCACTAGAAACTCCAACATCATTGTGAAGTTTACGGACGACACCACAGTGGTGGGTCTCATCACCAACGACGATGAGACGGCCTACAGGGAGGAGATCAGCGCCCTGACCCACTGGTGCCAAGACAATCATCTCATCCTCAATGTCGCGAAGACAAAGGAGTTAATAGTGGACTTTCGGAGGTGCAGAGGAGTACACACCCCCATCACCATCAAAGGCGACGCGGTGGAGAAAGTGAGCAGCTTCCGTTTCCTTGGTGTTCATCTGGCCGAGGATCTCACGTGGTCAGTGCACACGAACAATACAGTAAAGAAGGCACAGCAGCACCTCTTCTTTCTCAGGAGACCGAAAAGATGTGGCATGAGCCGCCGCATCCTCAGGACCTTCTATTGCTGTGCCATTGAGAGCATCCTCAGTGGATGCATCACCACCTGGTATGGCAACAGCACCGCTTACAACCGCAAAGCTCCCCAGAGAGTAGTGCGGTGTGCAGAAAGGATTATTGGAGGTGAGCTTCCCTCCCTCCAAGACATCTACAGGAAGCGGTGCCTGAGGAAAGCGGGGAGGATCATCAAGGACTCAACTCACCCCAGCCATAAACTGTTCAGACTACTTCCATCAGGAAGGAGGTTCTGCAGCACCCGGTCCAGAACCAGCAGACTGAGAGACAGCTTTTTCCATCAGGCCATCAGACTGCTGAACACTACATAGACACCTCACCCTCACTACTGGAACTTCAACATTACACACGCCACACAGTATATTAATGCCTCTGTTTGTACATACTAACTTCTGTATATTATATATCTTGTCTTTTTTTTTTTTTTGCTGTGCACGATTCTGTTGCTGTGAGGCTCGCACACAAGAATTTCACTCGCACGTACTGTACTAGGGTACCTGCACATGTGACGTGACAATAAAGGTGATCTGATTTGATTTGACCACTTTAACACCAGAAGGTTCTGAGCTCATCAAGGCAAGCAATACCACACATCCTCATCATCATCATCATCATCTCTCTCCCCCACCCCTTCCAGACTCATCTGATCGTCGCCATAGTTACAATGTTTTGCAATGAGGAAGCAGGCTGGTTACCATGGTTACATCTCCGTCAGTCAGAGCGATAAAACAGATGAAGGTTTTGGATCTACTTTCATTTGACACAGATCTGAAAGAGGCGGAGCTTCTGAACCCATCAGCTGCCGTAGAGCATGCTGGGAGCACACCTGATCTTCGCGTTTGATTGCCCATCTTTTTATTTCCCTCTCTCTCTATCATTTCTCTATCAGACTCCTCATCTATTTTCATTTCTACCGACTTCACTCTCTCAGAGAGCATTGTGGGTAATAAAGCCCGTGCTCTGCAGGTTTGGGTAACAGCCTCTGTGAGCTGAACTTTGATAATAACCAGCCTCCAGCCAACAGAGATAAGAAACAGAACATTTGGACTTTTTTCCTTTGTCCTAAAAAGTTCTGGTTCAGAAAAGTGAGGATGAGTGACAGCTCTCTGATGCGCAAATGCTCAGATTTGTTGATGTATGTGGACCTTTTGCTAGTTTTATACCAGGAACATTTTCCTACATCCTATGGTTCATTAGCTGAGTATCGTCTGACCCACTGGAAGGATTTTAATGAAATTCAGAGGCAGAAATCACGGGATGAACGTCTACAGCCTGATTAAAGATGGCTGCCACAGCTAATCAACACAAACATGTTTCTAAATCAGACGCTAAGCTATTGCGATTGTCATTATCAGATCTAATAGGCCATTATATGATCATGATGGATGATATTTTACTTCAGATGCATTTATCTCCCCAGTAAGAGTTGTAGGTCACAGTCTGATGGAGCCAAAAGGACCACAGCATCCACATAAAGCAGACATGAGATCCTCCTGCCACCTAGAAGATCTGTCAATAAAGACAACGAACGGAACCGCAGACAATGAACCGCCCTGCTGTTGTTTATGTGGATGCTTTTAACAGATGTCTAGTCTTGGTAAAGAAAACTATTTTCTTTTCTGGAAAGTAAAAAACTTTTTATAGTTTCAGTTTTTATTCCTGCTCTAAACAGAGAGCTGAGTGATGGTTTACTTAGAGTTAGCTGTGTTCTCCATCGTTAACAGAAATGTTGGTCTTATTACTGTTATCGTCCAGTGGTCTGAAGCGTGTGATCCAGAAGTAAAGATCAGCAGCACGAGATGGAGGCGGCACCACCAAGAGCTTTAGAGCAACATGAAGACATCAGGGGCGACGGTGGCACAGGAGTTAAGTGCTCGCCCCGTAATCGGAAGGTTGCAGGTTCGAGCCCCGCTCAGTCTGTCGCTGTCGTTGTGTCCTTGGGCAAGACACTTAACCCACGTTGCCTGCTGGTGGTGGTCGGAGGGACCGGTGGCGCCAGTGCTCGGCAGCCTCGCCTCTGTCAGTGCGCCCCAGGGCAGCTGTGGCTACATCGTAGCTCATCACCACCAGTGTGTGAATGTGTGTGTGAATGGGTGAATGACTGATTGTGTTGTAAAGCGCCTTGGGGGGTTCCATGACTCTAGAAGGTGCTATATCAAATACAGGCCATTACCAATACCATCTTGGAAGAAAAACAGGTCAGACTCTGATCTCACCTCAACAACAGACTTGTCTCTGTCCTCCATCACAGCCTTCATCTCCTGAGCTGTGATGTCATCTCTTCGTTGCCGTGCCAACCGTAGATGCTGGATGAGAACAGATCCAAACTGTTGGACCTCTAGAACGGAATCGGCTTCACAGACATTCTGGAGAAGTTTGTAAATGTTCTGAAAACAAAGAGAAGGAGGTAAAACCAGAAGAAGTCACTTCCTTTAACCAAAGCTCAGATTTACGATGGAGGCTGGAGTCTTTACCACATCAGAGTCCTGCAGGCAGATGTTCTCCACCCTGACAACAGACAGAAGAGCAGATCAGTGGATTTGGATTCCACTGGAGTTTATAATGTGATTAAAATGTGTGAATGTGTCAGATTACTGAGCTTGTCTGATACCTTAAAGACACGGGTGGAGTTCACCACCTGAGACCAAGCGAGGCACTAAAATACAACCCTACTAAGTTGTTAATTACAGAAACTTGGATCTTATCTATTTATTTGTAATAACTTGAAATGAAACATATATTTATTTTATCCATTTGAAGAACTAACAGTGCTCCTTTCGCATGTCCATGAGCTCCTACTGATCCCGGACAATTGGGTAACGCCAAACAGACCAAAGCTTGGTCGTAGCAGATGATCATCACTTTGTGCTTGTTCTCATGTTCTGCTGTTGGTCTGGATGAGACCTTCAGCTGTTTCAGAACCAGGGTCAGAGAGGAGAGGCTCGTTTCCGCGATGCATTTTAAGCCTGAGACGTTTCAGTATAAACTGAAGAACAGGGGTTGGTGCCCTCGTAGGCTAACTGCTCCTCAGCCTCTGCAACCAGACCACCTGTTTGATTACCTGAGCATTGTGCAGCAGTTCTGCAGCGCGTTTGTCCTGCAGTCCCTGAATCCATTTTTAAATTGCTGTCATTTTGACTTCAGCGCAGAGCTGCGAAGCTTCCGCTGGATGAGCGTGTCTGCTGAAGAGGAGTTTTCCTCCGTCTGACAGGAGTCACTGTGGTGGACGTGTAGTCTGTAACTGGCTGATCTCCTGCCTCTTCTCCTGGGAAGCTCTTTTCATTTTGGCTGCTGCTGTTTTGCTGTAATAAACTGTAATAAGGTGGCCAAGACGGCTCTGCTCTGCGGGGAACAGCAGGTAATGAAAGACCGTCCGTCTCCAATAAAGCTCCACTAACACCCTGCTTATAGCCCATGCAGCCTGGCTCAGTCCGGCTTTGCTTGGCTCGCTCGACCCCCTTCATTAACACTCTTGCACATCTCCTCTAAATTGGCACGCCGTGAGCAGCCATTAGTGGGATTACACGGTCTGAGTCGGAATAATAACAGTTTGCATTCATACTTTTACAAAAGTTTTCTTTGTAGATGTGAGACAGCAGAGCTGCCCAGTTCTTTAAGTTAGTCTTTAATATTGTCAAAAGGTGAAATTCAGAGACCACGGACGTAATTTTCACTTTAGAAGTGGGGGGGACATGGGGGTCTTTACAGTATGCTCGATTGGAAACTGGCTTCAACACAAACGATTGTTTTCTGCTTGGTCCTAGAGCTCAACCAGTGTCAATTTAATATAGCGTAAAATTGTTTTTGGATGGTAAAACGTGCAGGGGTCAAAACTTGACTTTGGAAAAAGTGGGGGGGACATGTCCCCTCTGTCCCCCCCCCAAAATTACGTCCATGTCAGAGACACAACACCTGCAAACTAACATCAAGGTTCTGCTGCAAAACCCAGATTTGATTAGTCCAGAAACTGGTTTCCCTTCTGCAGCCATAAACTAAAGGAACATCCATTATCTAGATTAAAGGCTGGATTTTTAAATGTAACTGTTGCTTTGACTTTGAGTTTTTGTTTGTTTCATCCAAAATGAATGAAAGCCGTGATGAAGGATGCTCAAACAGCTTCTGGAACAACTTCCCATCCTTTCAGGACACAAAAACAGTCCGTCTATGTCAAAGTTCAAGCCTGAGGTTTAGTATGAGAGGAAGGTCTTCATTTAACAGATCAAAACAACTTCATGACCAACAGGTTTCAGCTTCAGGCCTTCGTCAGGGTCAGCCTGCAACACTCAAACTTCAGTACATGAATTGAACCAATGCAGGAAAGAATAATTTTACCTTACAGACTTGGCAACCCCACGGGTTAAAATATGATTGGCGTTGTAATCAGGAAGTATGTTTGAGAATCAGAATGAAGGTTCCATCCATCCATTTTCCTCCACTATCTGGGATCGAGCTATGGAGGCAGCAGCCTGAGACAAGAGGCCCAGACTTCCCTCTCCCCAGCCATGTGGGCCAGCTCCTCCGGAGGAATCCTAAGGCCTTCCCTGGCCAGCCGTGAGACATTGTCCCTCCAGCATGTCCTGGGTCTTCCTTTAGTCTTCTGCCGGTTGGACGTGCCTGGAAAACCTCACCAGGGAGGCATCCATGAGACATCCTAACCAGATGTCCGAGCCACCTCAACTGACTCCTCTTGATGTGGAGGAGCAGCAGGTCTACTCCAAGCCCCTCCTGTATGACTGAGCTTCACACCCTATCTCTAAGGAAGAGCCCAGACACCCTGCGGAGAAAACTCATTTGCTTCTATCCGCAATCTTGTTCTTTGGGTCACTACCCAAAGCTCGTGACCATAGGTGAGGGTAACGTAGATCCACCGGTAAATCGAGAGCTTCACCTTCTGTCTCAGCTCTCTCTTCACCACGACAGGTCGGTACAACGCTCGCATCTCTGCTGACATAGCACCAATTTGCCTGTCGATCTTGTGATCCATCTTTCCCAAGACCCCGAGATACTTAAACTCCTCCATTTGAGGCAGGACCTCGTCCCTGACACGGAGAAGGCATTCTACCCTTTTCCGACTCGAGTCCATGATCTTGGATTTAGAGACACTGATTCTCATCCCAGCTGCTTCACACTCGAACCGCTCCAGAATCAAGGTTCTAGGGATCAAATAATATTATTTAAGCATTATTGAAGCATGAAATTAAAATTTCAGTCAGTCAGCCTTATTTAAACACAGATGTGGACAAAAGAGTTCGTACTGATCTGTTACAGAAAGGACTGACAAAAGTATTAATAATTAAACATTAACTGGAAATCAGCTCAACCGTTTCAGCAGAACAACTTTAGTAAACAAACTAATGAAACTTTAACGATGGTTTCTAATGTGACCAGAGGGACACATTCTACTCAGGTGTCTCCAGTCAGTTTAATGGCTGAAAGGTAGTCACCGTGCTGCTTGGTAAGGTGGGTACCACACAGAACACGGACCACAGAAAGCTGAGAACACAGCTGTCCCAGGAGGAGGTCAAGTTAAAGGCTGGAAGACCATCTCCAAGCAGCTTGGTGTTCCTATCACTCGACAAAACTGGTCAACCCAAGCTAGTAGTGAAAGTGACCTCATACCGCTTGGAGAGTTTTCCCCGTAGCGAATATGCCAGGAATAACTTTGGCTTAATCAAGGTTGGGTCATGGAGGTACCAAATCCAGGAGATAAACTCAGACCTCCCTGCTCTCCCTAGAGACACTCTCCAGCTGCTCCTGGAGGATCTCAAGGTGTTCCCAGACCACCGAGGATATGAATCCCTCTAGAGGTCTCAGCGGTCTGTCTCCAGTGGGGTTTGTCTGGAAAACCTCAGACAGATCTGAAAAGTTCCCTGCATGCGTTAAAATAGTCTTCATGGGATGAATATGAAAACTCTTGTTTCAGACGAGCTTCAGACCTCCTGACTGAAGATTACTGTCGGACACGAGAAGTTACTAATCAAAAACAATCTGTTATTATATGAACCAGCTTTCAGTCAGCAACTCTGTTCTGATTCCAACACTGCACCGGGAATCCTCAGGTTTGTTGAAAATTGAATACATGATTAATTTTATGAACCAATCAGTTTGTAAATCCTGAAATAATGAGGAGCAAAGCTGAGTGAACATGGAGCTGTCAGCCAGAGCCCTGCATGGTCTCATCAGCAGACCAACAGAAACAATGACACATTAGTCAGAAACACACATCTATAACACACACATACACATTTACGCAGGTCAACTCGTCCATCACAATAACACACACACACACACACGCGCGCGCGCGACAGAGCTGACTGAAACACACACTATCTGAGGTCTACAAGGCTGCCTCCTGCATCAGAAACACACACAAACGGACAGCCACCAACATAAACCGACACGCGCTCGCAGTCCTGACAGATGGAACATGCTCCTCCATATTCTGCCCTGATAAAAAGGATTGTGGCCTCCAATATCAATTACCCTCTCATCCTGGAGGGGCGGGGGTGGGTGTTTTTGAGGGAGAAGAAGAAGAAGCAGTAGGAAGAGGGGTATTATCTCTAATTAGATTTTCTGCTCTATTTGGCTGCTGCTTGAAGAGGACAAGAACTCATTTCACAGCTCTTATCAAGGTGAATAATGAAGGAGAACAGGAGGAGTAGAACGGTTCTGGGTTGTGATCCTCCTTCAGACAACACTAAATATGTTCTGCATGTAAATAAATGAAAAAGAAAAAAATAAATGTTCTCACAGGAAAACACATGGAGTCGGCTTCTGAAACAACAGTAAACATTTACACGCCAGTTAAACTGGCCCTAAAGGATCTAACTGTCGTTTATTACAGGCAAAAACATCACACACACCGCTGAACGGCAAACATAAAGTTCTTACCTGCATGTGTGTGCTCATTGACTACATATCACATGACCCACTGGAAGGTTTTTATGAAATGCAGACTGAAATCACTGGATGAATGTTTTCAGCCTGATTAAAGATGGCCGCCACAAACACAGACATGTCTCTAAAATAGCCCGTTTGACAAACGCTGGGCTGAAATCTGATGTGTTGCTAGCTGAGAGTCGTCCATGTAACAGTGCAAACAGACTAGCACAAAAACAACTAGAACTCCTCATTTCTCCTCCTGAGGTGATCTAAGTGGCTGAAGCCAACGGCCAATGCTAAGGAATGGGGGCAATTTAAAAAAAAACATTTCACGTGGGGGCGCTCACCGAGGCTGCCCAACAATAATTTTAACTGTTCTAAGGGACAATAGTTGCAATGTTTTCAGTTAGCTAATGTAAGGCTAACGCTAGCTTACATCATGGATTGTGGAGGTTCCCGTTGATCACTCAAGAAAAGAAAATAAGAGCTTTTCTTAAAGTAGCACTAAACAGTTTTCAACACTTAAAGCTGTTTCTTTAAAAGTGGCTTTCAGTGATTGTGAAGGTAGAAACTTTACCAACTTCATCTTGGACACCACTCTGCTCGCAGAGTTTCCTCTATTCTACTGAAGGTGAGAGCGTGCGCGGGGTTGGGGGGTGGCGGGGGGGGGGGGGGGGGGGGGGGGGCGTCAGCCCAAGTTGGGCAAGCAGTCCACCGGGACAGTGCCAGGATGCCAGATAGGCCAGTCCACCCCTGCTAATTGTGTGTTTTACTCTATTGTGTACAGCACTCTAGGTGTACACCTCATAGGTGTGGCATTAGAATTTAAGCCGTGGCGCAGCACCACGTCTGAGCCTATGTAGGGGAGACAGTGGGAAGTGGTGGTGACTTTCTCTTTAATCCTCTTGGCTGTTGGGTTTTTAAATGATTAAGGATGGAAGGTGTTTAGGAAGTCCACTCAAACTGTAAATGTTGCTGCTGCCTGTTGGTTTTTGCTGCACAGGAACTGCACGTCTCTTGGGGATAATAGTGTTCTTCAATTTCAACATGTGACCCACCAGAACCCGTCACAAGTGGCATCTTTTTGAGTTCACCCAAAACGCCTTGAACCTGAGTTGTAATCATATTTAAATGG